TTCGTATAGTTTTGTGGGTAGATGTACGCAGCATATACCACCACTGCGCCATACTTTCTGTGCACCTTGTCTATTAATAAATTGGGAAAATAGCCTATTATTTAGTATCAAATAATATTATTTCCAATCATAAATAATTAGCGTAGTTTTTATAAAATGGAGCATTATTCCGCTTACAAAACTATACGTTATTTTTTAAATAAATTTATTAGAAAACTAAATTAAAAAATACTATAATGACTGTTCTATCATAAATAAATTATATGAATATAAATATGCATATATTGCATATAAGTATGTGTCTATAAATTAAATATATATTTGATGAGATTCGATATTTTTATGAGATGATAATATTATTATCATTATACATAGTAGCCCGTTGATGTCTTTTGCTAACGCTTTAGAATTGGCATCATGCTAGCATGATATGTAAAAGTTTTTCTGTTAAAGGTGTTTTTCTTATTAAAATTGTTTTCCTTATTTAAGAAGGTTAATATAAATATAACATAAGAAGCATAACTAAATAATAACTTCCACTTTGTTAAAAAAGTAAATTTATAATAATATGTAATAATAATTTATAATAATAAAAGAAAAAGAAAAGGAATCTCTGTTGTTTTAAATAATTATGTTAAGATATTATTTGAGATTTATTAGAAACTAACAATTTACGTCCCTAGTTGCCTAACAGTAACCTATGTGGTACTCCAGGTCATATAACTGTCGCTCAACACTATCCAGACGTTTCGCCGTGAAGGAGTAACAAACATACATACGCGCACACACATATATTCACACATATATTCACACATACTTTAAAGTCTACAATATTAGTCCAATTTACAGATGCTTTAGATATAATTTAAAATTTAATAATCAACACGTAAAGGAAAATTTTAAAATTACTAATATATATTCAACATATTAATAGATGGTCTAAATAACACGTAATAATCGTAATAATTTTATTCAAAACTATAACAATTGTTTAATTTTAATCGTAAATGACGCCTTTGAATAAATTACGATTTAAATGAATCAATTACATTAAACAAAAAAATACGCGGAATTTTGTCTAGCCACTATAATTTTATTTGATTATTTTTGCAAATAAATACTTAGGTTACGAAGTCTGTTTTATACATGACAGCCTAATTATTATAGTGAACAAAATTTAAATAAAATTATATCCTAATATCAATAATTACTGGACTATTACAAAAAGTTTATTAAGTGAGTTGCAATAACAACATTAAAATTTGTTTAGTATTATTATTTTCCAAATACTGTACCTAATTAGGTTGCTGTTATAATATTTTTTGAAAAGTTTGCTATTTTTTTTCTCTCCTCTTAATATTGACGATCTCTCATACTTACTGGTCGAATCCCCGCTCTGTATACCTTTTCCCTGAAGACATTCAGGAGTGAAGACATCCAAGAAGCAACTTTTGAAGGACAGTTATACAAGTTTGAATAACTTTCGAAATTTATATGACTCGTAAGTATTACTTTAAGAGAACTTAAGATCGAAAGGAATGGGAAAGGATTGATGAGATATTTGGACATATAAAAATAATAATAAAAAAATTATAAGCACAGCAAAAAATTCGCAGCCAGCAGCAAGGAAATATAAATAAAACAACAATGTTTTTCACATTAAATTTATATTTACTGACAGATCTGAGACAGACGACCTGGTTAATGGTAAGTGGTAAGTACACAATATGTATAAATATATTTTACCTGTTAAATTTATAAAGGTACCGGGTTAACCCAATCATTATATTGAGCATAAATGAATTCAAATTTTGCCGAAGCTTATCATTAAATCAATATTATTTTATTAAACATTTGTAGATCATTTATAATAATATATTTGGCAACTTGGCAAAATTTTATTCACACGCTATGTAAAATCGCACAGCTGTATTTTTAATGATATTTCTATATGTTTAAAGGAGAATTAGCTATTATTTCAAAATTTTCCTTTGCACATATAGAGATACCGAAGCATAGCAATGTTAACCGTTCGCCGTGGCGGTGTGACAGATCTGCCACCTATCACTAGAATGAACTATCATCGATACTTAAATCTACTATGATTCTAGGAAAAGCCAAAGTAACCTCAAGCACAAATCGATTAAACTCGTTACTAAATTTTGAGGGCATTCATCACGACTCCTTAATAAAATTCTATTATTTGACATCACTTGGGCTTCGCCTAGCAACAGGTTAATTTCGCACTACGCTTATAATAAACAAATATAACTTAAAATAAAAAATAAACGCAAAATGTAAACATTTCTAATACATAATATGTCAGTTCACGAGGGATTTATATTTAAGAAAAACAACTTTTTCTCGTATTTATCCTCTGCGATTTTACTCAACTGAATTTAACAGAAATATCTGGTAACTGATAATTAAATTAATACATTATACACAAACATAATCCAGGAATCTTACACTTTATCGTCCTTACTTACTATTTTATAAACTTGGAATCACTACGAACTTATTTCAAAATAAGAGAATCGATGAATACAATAAAAGAGTATGATAAATAACAAATTTACCGTTTAATATTTACATGGGTTACTTCTAATCGATACTACTAGTGCATGTTTTAAACAGTACAAGAAAGACAAATATGTCCGCTATAATATATCTGAAGATGAGCGTCGGGCCGAGAGGGTTCGGAGCCGCCTGCTGTAAATAAAGGAGTTTCTGCTATATTGAAGGCAAGATGAGGTATTCGGTAGACCGGCGCTCCGTCGCCCCGCGGCCCGCGCCCTCACAACACATCTAACCCTATTACTCGTTATTTGAGGTAGTTTAGTTCCGTACTGGGTCATTGTTTTAATTATTAATATGATCAAAATACTTCTGTTATATAAAAATGTTATCAACTGTATAGTATAATTTAATATATTTCTATTCTGGTAACACAGCAAGTGGAGCAATTTTGCATGCGTTCTTTACTGATTGTAAAATATCAATGTATGTATTACATTATATCATTAGAACGATAAAATATATGATATCAAATTATAAATATAGGTACAATAATTATCTGAACGCATGCAATTGTCAAAAACTGTTTCATTACAGAAAATATTTAATATCAGTAGTCAATCTAGTAACATTAATAAGTATAAATATTATATTTATAATACATGAGAATTCACACTATTTGATATAATAATTCTGAATTCAAAGAGTTAATTTCATAATATGTAAATAGATATAGTTATTGATGAGGTAGATAAGTACTGTAAGTGTCAATTTACCTGTATAAAAATATTTCTGCATATAATCAACAGTCAAATACAAACATTATCAAAATTAAGTCGATACAATGTTCATATTGCACATTTACGTCAAAAGATATTCGGGTCTCATCGACACAGATATTGTGAGACGAAAGCGTATCAAAATATTATGCTTGTTACTTTACAAGTGCATGAGATCACCTTCCCTGGGTACCACTTAATAGTCATAATAAATAACGAGTCAAATATTTTGAAATGCTTGCAAACTAGGACATCGGTTATCCTTTTCAGAGTGAATTTTTCAATGATTTCATATATTATGTACAAAGTATTCAATAAAATATTAATTATATTTCATTAAATACCTAAGTAAATTAATAAACATCATATTTAATTTCTTACTATACAAAAACATTTACATTAATATTAAAATTATTGCTAGAGAATTTCATTATTAGGCTAAAAATTATTAAAGTTAAAATGTTTCGCAACAGACAGTTGGCGGAGTTAATTTGGCAACGTTCAGGAAGACTACTTTCCTACCACTAACGAAACAGGAATGTTTAAACTAACTTCGTTCAAATAATATATTGGTAACTTAAATTGGACATAAATTAGTCTATTTTTACGAATAATTCTGAATTTCGTCAACTACCTTAACAGTAAAACAAATTTCAACAGATAAAATAATAAAATAGGAAGCACCGGGAAAGTATTAATATAAGTTATAACCAATAGGATAATTTATATCTAAAACAAAAACGATATGTAATTATAACACCTAATCGAGATGCGCGGGCGCTGCTCTGGCTTGGCAGCGCACACTTGACTCGCCTTTGTCTAAGATGCTCTAATGCTACGACGCGATGGCACATGAGAAACCTTTTACAATCCTAACTCAAAACAATAATTTAACTTAATGAAATCTCAACTGACATTTCTTGTTTGTAAATTTAAAGAGCCATGTGTCGCACATTTCCTTGTTAGCGGCATAATTTTCGGAAAATTATTTATTAACCTAATGTTTCAATTTTAATAATGTGACCAAATAATTTAATTACTAAATTTTTATTAAAAATGTGGTTTTGTTATATTAACGGTACTTATATATAAAAAAGAGTCTGGCATTAAGTCCCACATTAGCGTATTTACAAAAAATCTGTCCCATCAAATACTCACTTTTCCCATTAAACATTAACAAACGTAAACATAATTTCTTTAACTAAAGTTCTCTACGGTCCATAATTTACAATTAAAAAGATATGTTCTGATTAAATGTCGAAAATGACAACCATTCAAATCACCTAATGTATAAATCACCAGATATTTTTTATCTAACTAATACTACTATAATAGTAATTCATATGTAAAAATGATATGGATCGGTCTGTAAATATTATTGCGGAATATCACTCCGACGTCATGTAATTACATGTTTAGCGCCCAGACACTCAGACATGTAAAGTCACCTTGCACCGAATACAAGGTTAGATTGAATGAACAACAAAAAAACATAGCTGGCCGACTGAGTGCATGCGTCGGAGTCGATCCGCGGCTGAACTAAAGGACATAATAGATCTATAACAAAACGTTATATGCCAACGTTATTAACTATCAAAAATATTAAAAATTTAAGTAATTGCAATGATTAATTTATATAATGATATGTGTGTAATAACTTTTTAAATAAAGACCACGGATATAATGCTTTACCAGATTCGTTTACGTAGAAGAGGACGGTGATGTCGAGGATACTGATGAAGACGATGATCGGAAATTCTTTTTCATATGCGTGTCAAAATGTTTGACCATATGATCTTTTCTAATAAACCCTTTACCGCAATGGTCACATGCGAATGGCTTACATCCCGAATGTAGGCACATGTGCCTACGTAAATCTGTCTTGTGGTTGAAGGACTTTGGACATTCATTACATTTGAAGGGCTTATTGTCTGCGTGTTTGAGGTAATGACCCTCGTAAGAAACATCATCGGAAAAACGTTTACCGCACCGGTCACATTTGAAGGGCTTAGCTCCAGAGTGGAACGTTTTATTGTGCTGAGTAAGGTAACAAGCTTTATTAAATAATTTGTCACATTCGAAACATTTGTGAATTGTAGTTGGTGCGGCTTTTTTTAATTGATTTCGTTCTGTAAGTGGAGTACTAGGAACCGTAGAAGAAATGGAAGGTGATCCATGGCTTTCATTCTCGGCCTTCGCACTCTCTGGACTTGCTGGAGATTTCATTTGAGCCCCATAGTTTTCTTTATTTGCATAATCCATAATATCTTCTATCTTTAAAATCTGAAGCTCGCTCGAGTCAGTCCGCAATATGTCATCTTCTCGTTTAATCGTTTTACCTCCTACCGCATAACCATACGGATAAACTTTTACATTATCCGTATTATAACTAACAATGTTTTCTTTAATCGTCTTAGGTGAAAAGCTATAATCATAATCTAATGATTGTCCGTTAATATCAATACCATTATAGTGCATAGGGGAATGGACTGGATCAACAATAATGTAACCGGCGGTGGACTCGTCGGCGACAACTTGACCCCCCACGTTAGGCGATGTAATATAGTTAGAAACATAAACGCTGAAACTCTGCGTTTGGAGTTGCGAGAAACTTGGCAAGCGTCCGCTGGCAGGTTGATTCGACGTTTCTTGTTCCATAACCTCGACTTCTTCAGATGACGATTCACCAAAAGTAGCCGGATTGGCTATAGGCAGATTGTTGATAGCCATATCCATAACGTGGGGGGCCATCCCGTTTGGGTAGTTCGGAGCTATAGTCTGTTGAAAATTCTGACCCAAATATAATGGGGTGTGCGTGGGGTCCGGAACCGAAGGCCCCAAAGGATCCGTAGACCTCGGACTGTACGGATTGACACCCAAATGGCTGAACGGTGGCAGGGTGTGTGCCGTAAGAGCCGGCGTACTCTGAGTTAGAACAGGTGTTGAAATATTGCTGGTTGACACTGATAGCAGGCCCCTCATATGGTGACTTTGAGAAACAGAGGGACCTGCTTCCCCGTTTGGGGGATTCACGCTAGTAGTTATTGAATTATTTTTAGAGCCTTGCGGACTATCATTCGGATTACCTATGCCAGGCGGTTGACTACCTATATTAATTGGATGTGAACCAACTTGATGCTGTAATGCGTGATTAGTTAAAGGATTATTACTGAAATTATTATCTAAGTTACCCTGTTGAAGATGTGTATATGGCGACTTCGACTGCATAGTGGCGACACGGTGCGACCGATCGAAGTTCTGCGATGCATACGGCGATTGTAAGGCGCCGTCGTCGACGCTACGACTGTCTTCTGATGGAACTGGGCTTTGAGTGTTTGAATCCACACTCTGCTGTTGCGCACGATTTTGCAATGAATCGCGACTAGGATGGTGATGACTCGATATTGGCATCGTGGCTGGATCCGGCTGACCCGACGATCTAACTGCATTTTTATGAAGTGTTGTATTGTAATGCCTCTTTAAATGTCCAGAACTTGTAAACCATTTGTTGCAGGCAGTACAATTGTATGTTTTTGGTCTTCTTGCTTCATTTGATTTCCAATTAGCTCCTTTACCACCAATTGATGGCAATGATGATGAAGTTGGGTTCGCTGGCTGTGTACTAGTTATTTGTGGCGCCGAAGGTGAATCGTAAGGGCGGTAAGGTGGTTTCATGTCGGTGTTAGTTGAAGCAACATTCCCAGGATAGTCTGACAAAGATGGTATTTGAACACCGGGATATATTTTTTGTTCTACATGCATAAACGGTTTTTGTTCATGATGTAGTAAAAATTTTTCTTGTGCATAGCCAAATTTTTGATCAGGATGAAACATTTTACCTTCTGTTGAATAAACTTTTTGTTGCTCTGCAAACATTTTTTGGTCTTTAAATAACGAGACATCTCCGTTGAGCTGCGGATTATTATACAGTTTTTGAGTTTCCCATGGCATCATTGGTACTGTTCTAGTATTTACCTCACGAACTTGAGAAGGAGTTTCTTCATAAGGTGTGTTTTGCTGTTCCCCTTCATTACCTTGATAAACTACTTTCTGGGAATCTAAATCTAATATATCTGATGATTCTTCGTGTTCTTCTTTTACTTTAATATTATCATTTTGATATCCAGAATTACTGTATGGTTTTCCAGGAAATTGTTGAAAAGGCATGGGAGCAGTGACAGGTGCAGAACTTGTCCCTGCATGTGCAGAATTGCAATGTTCATTTAGTTGAACTGCTGAATCACAAACGAATCCACATTTATCACATTGATTTGGCGAAGGAGATGGAGTCGGTTGGTTTAATGGTTGACCATAGAGTGGGCTCGATGAAGATACTTGTGATACACGATCTTGCATATTATAAGGGTGAAAACGATTTGGTTTATGGTAATCTTGATTATATTGTGACTGATCCCAATTTATTTGTTCTGTGTGTTGATTTTGCGAAAAATTAGAATGAGTAAAGTTGTTACCAAATTGTGCTCCTGGAGAGAAATTCGTCTGATCTGGATTTTGATATGGTGAAGGGGCGCTGTGATAACTTTGTGGTGTAGCGGGATGTGGAAATTGAACCGTAGTTTCCGGCGTGGCCCGCTGTTGGAAATCTGGGCTTGGTTTGGTAATCATACTGTCGCTTGAGTCAGCCGGGGCTGACACTGTCGTCTCGTTCTTCACTTTTGCACCGTTATTATTTTCACTATCATTTTGAGAGTTCTGTGTCCCCCACTTAACGTATAAATTCTCTTTATGATATTGAAGATGTACCTCTAGAGAATCCACGGTGTCCAGGTATAAGTCGCAAACCTTGCAATGGTAATCTCTCGACGGCAAGGTCGACGAAACGGCGTTGTTAGCCATCTAATTCATTAATCGAAGGGAGAACACCGTCTCCTCCAACGAAAAAAAAATAAAAAAACGTAACTCTTCTTCTCATCGAACATGTATACGTCCCATTAATCAGGCGCTACAGGTTAAAGTCATGGTCGCGGTTGCGTTATCTCCAAGGCGCGCTAACTTATACTACGGCAGTGTTTTCAAAGAAAGTTTTTCGCGGCATTGCCGCGCGGGCGGGCGGCGCGGCCACGTGCACGGTGTAAACACTTCAACGATACGACTAATATCAAAACAAAGTTCAAGTTAATGGCTCCACAATACGAAGAACGATTATATGTTTCACTAGTTTGTTGATATATTTAAAATGTCCTTACGTTTTAAGTTTGAAAAAACTTATTGTCACATAACTTTTTAGTCTCAAGTCTTTCAACTTAATCACAGGAATAATAAATTTAATATTTGCTTGTCACTTGTTATCATAAACGTGATAAAATAATGTATTGTTATAGTTTACAAAGAGGCGGCACGGACGCGACGCGAGACAGTCGCCGGGTACGGACGCTGCGAACGTTTACTAGCAACTGACAGCCTTCCCGAAGTCGCCTTCGGGGGCATGACTTCAATAACAATTCGCAACGTCGTCCCCCACCGAGGCGTAAGTGCGAGCGAGAGCGTAGCGTAGTGATGAAGTTATCGTTCCTTCGTCCTTTTGTGCGTCCCGAGTAGAAACGAGACGATGTAGAAAGAGGAGAGGAGGGGGCGCGCGGGAAGGGCTCGGTCCTACGCTTTCTCAAAATTGAAATGCCCGGTCGAAATGTCCGGTGATGCTGCGTCCTGCGTCCGAGTAGGACAGCGATAACACCCACCCTTACAATGCGGGACGCTCGAGCTCTGCGACTAAATTTTCTAAATTTCAAATCTTGAATAAATATATGAGGAAATGTAGTAGCATTCTTGAGTTTAGAATTACTTAGATTTAATACTACTTTTAAAAATATTTTATGTATTGCAGTTTTGTTAATACATTTTAAATGTTATTTCCTTATATAAAGTCAATGACCAAGAAATAAAAGGCAAAGTTCGAGATTTTATACATTGTGACAAATTTAAAAATAAAGTTACCAATATAATTTTAGTTAACTATGATTTTCATGTTTATTTTTATTTACTGCTATTAAATAGGAAATACTTTTATACAGTTTACTTACTTTCGTATAGTTTTACTATTTAATATTTATAAATTCAAATAAAAATGTGTTAACATATACAGATATATTATAATATACATTCGTGTATTTTAATTTAAATTATTTAAATATAAGCATTCTAAATAAGTTATTTAAATAGGCAAACGCGCAGGACTACGAACATTTTGCATTGCGGAGTGAGGGGATGGGGGTGGCGGACGGAAGCGTCCATTTCTTCAATATTTAAAAGTATTATTTATGAGCGGTAAAAGCGACATGGCAACATGAATGAAGTATAAGTTCCAAAATTTAGTTAAATGAAAATTGAAATTATTTTAGATACAATATAACCAACTGGTCAGGGCCATGCAAACTATGAGGGGTGTCGACATCGATTTTCTCGGACTATGCCGATCGCTTCACATCCTCCCCTACCATTCTACACTCGGACTCTTCTTACCCTCTACCTCTATATACAGAATAGGTACTGACCTCTTTGCTTTATTTAAATAGTTTACTTTACAATTTTTAGTTATCAGTAAATTATATTTATTTATTGAAAATAAAATGATTTTTAGATGATATTATTTGGATTTAATTTATCTGAATATTATTAGTGTGTGTGTGAATTTAATAATTATTAAAAAATTAATTACAATAAACGCGCTTCGTATGTTTGTAAGACTTTGCTCGGCATTCAAATTTTAATATTACTTTATTTGTAAAGGTGCTTGCTGATAGCTGGTTTTTTATAATAAATCATTTTTTAAAAGCAAATCATTCATCTTAATATAATGTGCCTAGATTTAAATAGATAACATTTAATACAAGTCGATAACTAATATGTAGTAAGTAGTCACAGTTTTGCTTTGTGTGCAGTGTGTAGTATATTAATATAAATTACTAGCCATATAATATATTGAAAATAATTAAAGTATATACAATAATTTAAGTATATTATTTATCTTCAGTTTTTGTTATCATATTTCTGATTTAGGAACTTTTTACAAGTTAAAATTATTATTAGAAATATTAATTCAACATTCTAGCATTCAAATTTTGTTGTCTATTAATAGTGCAGTAAATTTGTGTAAAGGTCGAAACATTATAGACACAAATCTGCCGTTAATCTCCACGTGAGTATCTTTCATAACCTTTTACGAGGGAAGGCAATATGCACGCCGACAAAACAAAGTTGGTTTCACGAGTCAGGGCTCTGTGTCAGACTGCTTTGACCGACTTTCACCTACTGAAATAATGTAAACAGAAAAAAGAAGTTTGCTCAATATTTTTACAAATACATACAAAGATTTTTTACTATTTAATTTAAGTTTGAATTATATATTTTATACGAACAATGTATTATTTATCCCCTATGAAGCTCTTAAACTTGGTAATCGTAACGATTTCTTTATATATTTCTAAAAATTATATTCAAATTTCTAGGATTTTAGATGACAAATATTTGGAATATTATAATACACCTAACTAAAGGCTAAGAGTAATAAAACTTACATGTATCTCTCTGTAGTAAGTATTTCTTTAGCCGAAAATAATATAAAACATTACTATATTTCAACGACTACTCGTAGTATCTAGCTAGCAGAACAACATAATAACACAATAATGTAATCTTTTAATTACTCTTTTTACAAGACTCATTATTTTTACGATTCGGATTTTCCAAACTGGACAATAAAAAAGCTGAAACGTTAAGCCGCTTTCAATACATTTTACAAAAAGCTGTTATAGCATTGATGATTTTAACACAATGACTTAAGCTTATCAGTACAAGGAAGACAGTAATAGAAAATTAAAATAGATAAGCAAACAAAGTGACTGATTACATTAACGAGTTCCATCGCTTTTGTAATTTTAAAAACCATTGTTATAAATAATATAGAGTTGCTAAAACTTAGAGATTATAATACATGAGATTATTGTAGTAAATGTTTATTGCACTTACCAGTCTTTATTTTATTCCATTTTACCATTTTTATAATAACCGCTTAATCTTGATCTTATAACAGAGGATGAAAAAAACAAATAGTAATATTAATAATTGCAAATATGTCCCATCCATACGCATTATGCAGCCATTGACTTCATTCAGACTTATTAGTCTTTTTTGATCACATTTCCATATGGCAAGCTAATTTAGGTGATTGCAGCTATGTTACTTTAAATGTACTTCTTTGTCTTCTTTTTTAAAAATACAAATAAAACAAATATTCTGCATTACCCAATAATTTTTTATCATTAATGTATAAAAAAATACATATATACCGAAACTGTATGTACATAAATATTTGTTCGGAAAATCATTATTATCCAAACCGATATACAGGCTGAATCTATAGTTTTTAGATTTTTTGTCTCCCTGTCTGTCTGGGAACACATCTGGAGAAAACCACTGGACGAATTTTGATGAAATTTGGTATGGCGATAGCTGGTTACGCAGGTCAATATACTTTTTATTGCGTAAAAATATCTCCTCTCTGAGATCAAAATACAAAACTGATTAGATGAAACCACGCTGAAACTATAAACATTTTAGCAAGGTTACTTACAAAATAGATAAAAAATAATTATAAATAGAGATATTTTATATATAAAAATAACTCAACAGATATTTAGTTAGGTGTAATTTAAAAGAACGATTACTAGATATCGCCGTCTGTTTTTAAATTACGTTATTTTAATTTCAAAAAAAATTTTCTTGGATCTGTACATTAAATATTATCGATACAGAGGCCAAATATTCAGTTTTTTTAATTTTTGTCTATCTGTCTGTGACCGCATCACGGGAAAACCACTGGACGGGTTTTAGTCACTAGATATCGCCACGTGTTTTTAAAATTTATTATATCTAATTTTATGTGTTTTTCAAATGAAAATATTTGTTAATTTTTGCCATTATTTAGTAAATAATGCTTATGTTTGTAATTTTTTTAATATAAAAATCGGGTAGGTGCCGGTCCAACTCGCGTATCAACGATACCGTTAAGCCAAATGCTATTTTATTTTTACTAACTTACGTATTGTTAAGTTAACACTAAAATAAAATACGAATGTATGTTTGTGTGTGCGAGTTTCACGCAAAAAGTACTTACCGTACCGATTTTGACTGAATTTTGTTTAGTGATAACTTATTAGTCGGGTTAAACTTACGTAGCATACCTTTTATTACAGGAAAAACTGGAATATTTGTGCCATACCAATCACCGCCTTTTTTTTCAATCTTGTGGTGTGCAATGAAACTGTTATTTATGTATATATTAATATTATGGAAAACCTAAGAATTTGGTTTTCGCTCGTCTGAACGCGGCTGGAGCCGCGTGCGTTGCTAGTAGTAGGTACAATAAAATTTTCGCAACATTGTGTAATGTATTGAATTTCTTATCTATAGATTAGAAAGCACGAAATATTTTACCAGTGATTGTTGTAAATCTTAGCGAGAAATTATGTAATACTATTATTAGTTTTTCGTTAATATTGAAAAAGCTTAAAATAGGTTATGCAAAGTGAACCGATATTATATGGCGTCGAAACGGAACAAATCGCGAACAGTTTTGAGCACTAATTAGATTCAGTCTCCGATTTGACTTTAGTGTTGAGGTCACATTGATGGAGCAAATTCTACGAACGCTCCCGTTTAGTATAACTCGAATTGACCAGACGTGTTATTATATTGTGATTACTAATCGCTATTTTTATTGAAGCCGTATATCACTAAAAGTGTAGGAATGGAGCCGCCTCCGCAAAATCAACTGCTTATATATAAAATAGAATTTATTTTTATTTATGCTAACGACAAAAACCATAACGGCACGGATACCTTTAATATTTTAACTTCCTGTTTATTATTTTTTACTACGAATTACAATATGTTAAGTTCCTATACCCAAATTTTCTGATTTAAACGTGTTAAAATAACCTTTAACGTTGAACTACAAGCATAAAAGCTCAGCACAAACTAAATTGCGCGACGTTGTCAATTTTACTAGGCTGCACCAAAAAAATGCATCTAGCAACATCGCACTGCCTTCTACAGTGTGATGTTGTAGATGTTCTCACACAAGCACAAAACTTACACCCTTATAGAGAGATTTCCAAGAAATGCTTCTCACACAGAAACATTTTTGTCTGTGTGCTGTGATAATCTATTAAAAAAATCTTAACTTGGCCACCCGGCGGCCAAAAATATAATCTTTGCATGCAGTTTTAGGGCAATAATCATCGTAACATAAATTACTGTAGTGCATGTGTCCATTTAATTACCTACATGATTAATATCATAATGGTGTGTGTGCGGGCAATAATAATCTGCATATTTATTTTACAATAACACCAAAGATAAATTATTTTTCATAATGTTAAATACTCATCAATCAAAAGTTAAAGAAACATAGGATTTGGCATTGAAGGAGTCTACATGCCTTGTCCTTTTAAATTGAGTCTATTACAGTCATAGTATATGTTAAAAGCTATTCATGCTCGAATCGATTTCAAATCTGATTAATAGATATCCCAAATATTATACATACATATCCTAGAAAACATTATAATATACAAATATACAAATAATATTAATTTATTTTCTATTTCATAAAATTAGTTATAGTAGTTGTGTATAATGAAAAAGTTCGATGTAATTTTAGTGGAAAGATTCACACAAGTATAAAGGGATGGGGTGCAGTGGAATGCAGCGCGGGTAAAAAACGATTTACAGTTAGATGCGGGGGTGGCTCTCTACAACCGGTTTGAACCACCTAACCACTGACATTTTATCCGATTTTGTTATTTCGTGTTTCTTAACCTAACATCATTTAATCATTTATTATTAGGTATATAAACACAATAAAGGCCTATAATCAAAATAATATTAAGTATGGATAGAGTTCTTTTAAATAGAATGCTAAGTTACTGTGATTTTTAAATAAATAAAAACTGTTGGGTTTTTATTAGTACCTACCTGTAGGTACTTATAACATTTACATTGCAGTAATCAAACGATTAAATTACCATTTTAAAGTAAAATCTATACAGATAAATAAAATTGAAGTGTCTGTTTGTAATTATATACGGTACTTATAAGAAAAACACATTTTTTTACATTTTTGTCTGTCTGTCTGTTTGTTCCGGATCCTGATTTTGACGGGACTTTCACTGGAAGATAGCTGATGCTATAGGGAGTATCATAGGCTACTTTTATTTTAAAAAAGAATTAGGGTTCCGCTCAAAAAATTATAAGGCACCTAGGGACAAACCCGACCGAAGCGATTTCACAACGTTAAAAAAAGGTACTTTATATATATAATTTTTATATACATATATAATATTTGCATATTTTATCATAGAAATTCATAGGAAAAATCTTAGTAAAGTACTATAACACATAATTTTTAACTATGTTAATCTACATTCAATTTCTTGAATTCTTACATTCTAAACTCACAAATACTGCAAATAAAATGCCATAAAAGAAGCATTCATAGAAGTGGTTGGAAATCTTAGAAATGGTTGTCATTATTGACATTGGACATACATTCATATCTACTTAGTATCATATTATAAATAATAATAAATATCTTTCCACTCATGCAACAACTACGAAACGAAAACCCCTTTTCTATCAAATAGAAACGCGTGGATGCTCTTTAATATTTTTATCAACCCAAGAGATTAAATTAAATATCTATAATAATAAAATTTATATAAGAAAAAAAGCAACGAAATCAGTTGTTCGTTTCACATCTAATGATGCACTTGGAAATTAGTTGAGAGACAAAATCATAAAACTTAAGATTTTATCACGAATATTACAAAAATTGGTATTTTTTTTGTAATATCAAAATTTATGATTTTGACACTATTACATTTTATTAATTTATGTTCTTTTTTATTTATTTAATATTTTTATAATATTGATATTTTCTTAGGTACGAGTTTATCGCGTTATTTTGTTCTACTGTGTATATTCCTGGATATATTTGTAAATCCGCCATTATATAATTTTTTATCACAAAAATTTTATTTTAATTAAGTACATTCAAGACACGGCTTATAATTTTACTACTACGCAATTAAATTTTTACAAAGCGATTGTGGTATCATTGCGCATAAAATAAACCAACTTTAAAACTCATGAGATGAATTGAACCTATGTTAATTGAAAATATGGAATACTCAAAGTATTCCTATAACTTTTTCTTTTAGAGTCGCTGCCAGAAATAATTATAAGAAAAGCTAGTTGAAGTTTTCACCGTTCTCAAAGTTTAAAGACACGTAGGTAGTTAAAAATAAGTATTTAGCAAATATTTTAGATAAGATCAATAAAGAGGGAAATTGCCCAAGTTTAAAATCGTTACAAGTAATATAAAAAGGTAACATACAACATACTCCGTATAAAAAAAATCACAGTATCAAAAATGGGTATTATTACGTGTTTTATAAGGTACGTGTCCGGGTCCGCCACACAATTACTTATTTTGTATTCAGCCCTTTTTATCGTCCCACTGCTGGACACGGGCCTCCTTTCAATACGAGAGAAATCTGCCCATAGTTCATCACGCTGGCCAAGTGTGAGTTGGTGGACTTACTTTAGTTTTATATACCTACATAAATATATTATTCATATGCTAAAACAAAAAATACCTATCTTTTTGCATTTAATTTAAGATTTTATATCAATCACTCCAGTTTTAGATGAATTAAAACATGGACTTTCTTGATTTATCAAAATTAATTCCCGTCCACAAATAAAGGCTGTGGTACACTTTATTAGTTTATTTATTTCCCTTAATGCTTTGACATCAAAACAAAGCTAAACTTTTAAGTTAAGTTATCTAGAACATCAGCTATTACTTTCTGGTTCCTTGGAGAGCATTAAGTCTAACATAACAAGTAATCTTTACGAAAGTCTATTCTCTAATTACTAGTGGAGGCGAACGTTTCTCAGCTTTATTGTTAGAAGAGTACTCAGAATAGAACGACAATTACCTATATATTCTAAAAATTCCACTACAGCATTTATTTCTTCAGAGACCTATTGGAAAGATTTTATTAATATAAATTTAATTCCTGAACAATATTTCTCTTAGCTTTATTTGATATAAGAAATTAGCTACTTCGTAATAAAATGTATATTAGAATTATTCACAAAACATGAAAATTGAAACAACGAAAAATTCTAAATAGTAGAACAATTTACATGAGAATATTAATGAGTGAGAATAAGGTTTGGAAACGTTTTACTTTTAAACACGATATGTGTTAAATTTGAACGGATCTCCCTGAGGGTGGACGGTCATCAATTTGGCAAGGGGGGCGCGGGTCGGGCGAGCTCAGCCTCGACTAACCCCTTATTTTACATTTCACACTCCGGGAAAATCGTTAGAGAAATCTGCGTAACGTGCATGTCCGAGACATACGCACACACGCCTACGTCACTGTAGGCGCGCGTCCGAACCACCCTTGCCCATCCTCTGTGTTATCGACCAAACTTCAAGAAATCCTCTTACCTATACGCACATGTGTACATGTAAATCGAAATTAGATATATACGAGTCCAATTTGAAATTTAAATTTTTGTTATAATCAAAATGAGGTAGATATCTATATCTATACTAATATTATAAAGAGGTAAAGTTTGTGATATTGTGAGTTTGTAAATTTGTGAGTTTGTGATGTTGTAGGGGGTAATCTCTGGATCTACTGAACCGATTATCAAAATTCTTTCACCAATAGAAAACCACGTTCTTTCTGAGTGTCATAGGCTATATATTAACCCGAAGAACGAAAAGACTTTCCATGGTAGTCGGAGATAGATATTGCCTACAAAAAAGTCAGCAACAGCATATGTCCAGCTTTTATAATCAAGTGACAAAAAGTAATTTTTTATATTAAAAATAATTTAAATCGGTAGATCATGTTTATTGGTCATATTATCAACAATTATGAATTCTTATCAAAATAAGTAAATTTATCGTCTAAAATGTTTAAAACAAAAAAAATCCTTTTACTGCATATAATTTGGACAAATAGTTAAAGAGATAATACGATATACACTTAGCTATGGAACCGCGACCGCGTCGTAACCTATTGAGTGATCTTTCTATGAGATGGTTTTTATCATATATAATAACGTCAATCTATCTATACTAATATTATATAGAGGTAAAGCTTATGAGTTTGTGAATTGTGAGTTTGTGACGTTGTAGGGGGTAATCTCTATGGGGGAGGAGGGGGAGCGGGGAGGATCTACAAAACCGATTTAGATGAAATTTGGTAAGAAGATAGTTTAAGACCTGGGAATGACATAGGATACTTTTGATCCCGGAAATTATCCCTTAGGGGTTGAAAATGGGGATGAAAGTTTGTATGGGGAAGCAAGCTAGGTACGAACCCGAGCGAAGCGAGGGTGAGTCACTTGTGTATACATATTTTAGTATATGTGCACTGTCGCATCGTAATGTACCTATATACATACACATATTCGTACGTATGTATGTATCTTGTATTTAGTCTGTAAAAGTTTATGTATTAAAAATATTAATATAATTCTTTTAATGTAATTATCCTCACCATTCTAACTAATATTTCTTTAATCCAAGAACAAGACAATGTGGGTTCGAAGAAATAGTAAAAAGTTTTATAGGCTAATGTTTATCCCGGTAATTGAAGTAGTTACCACAGAATTTTGGAATATTACAAAATGTTATATTCGATTTAGCCAGAATCTAATTGAAGCGAAGGGAGGTCATCGTATTAATTTATGACAGAAATTGTAAATTCGCAAATCTTGTTACTAATAGTACCTACCATGCTGGTCAAAAGTAAATTATGAATTAAAAAATCCTTATATACTATTGTAGATTTTTGTGGCAAAATTTACGTAATTTTTGAACAAAATAAATTGATTTTGAAGTTCCTAGACTATTTATTCTAAATATAAAATAAATGATTGGTTTGATTCTAAGCGAAAATCGAGGTGATCTATTGAAAGATGTCGCCGCAGGGTAGCGCGCTGAGTGGTCACATACATTATTACCGTACAATGTCACTATGCAAATGTATGTAGGAAGGCTTTGTGCGAACACACTTACGAACACGAGGTGGCGGGAGTCTTCTCCACATAATCCGAGCCCCCCGACGTCCTCGCGCCTGCCGGCTCTTGCCAAAGATGGTCTACGCATGTGAGTGTACACACGCGGCACTTTCTCTTGAAGCTCGCCACTGGCTTTTAAAGAGGGTGGCGGGAGGCTCGGGAAGGTGGGCGGCAGGCGAGCCGTTCCGAACGGGTGACCACAGTGGGCGGCGTGCGGACGGCCACGCGCACCTACGTGCGTCTCTTAGTTCTAACGCACCGTGCTTCGCTACCTGTCCAGCACGTCGCAAATGCAGCAGACGCTGCCGTCTTAATAGGGCGCATTAGCTTCAGCCATCGTGATTACTTATGTATACGACAAACTTCAGACAACGTGTATTATAAGCATATCATTCATTACATTTTTTAATCACTTAAATCAACTAAATAGAATTCGCGGAGACGCAGACGGGTCTCGTTTAATTGAGTGTACTCAGCGCCCTCGCCAAATGATAATCCCCTGCTCCCGAAATACCTGTAATAGATGTTAATTAGAGCTCTGCTCCGTACGGTGTAAAGAAAAAATAATAATTTAAACAAGTCGTAATTAGAGATGTTTACATAACTCTAAAACAAATATTTTTCAATTTTAATATTTTTTCCCTGCAAAGGGTCGGGTTTAAGCATATTTATTTTTCTCAAAGCTAGAGGAAAAATCTAAAATTACATCTAAAAGACGAAACTCTACGTTGTAAAGAAAAGGAATCAGGGTGGCAATCAGGGTGGGTGATAGCGTGACAATGTAGCGAGTTTTGTTTCATTGTAGCGCCTGCATCAGTAACATAATATAATTAATCTCTATTAATACCTACTAATACCATGCTTGCATGCCATCAGAGACGCATGAAGTCAAATGATAAAATTGAAGGAAGCTTTGACGATGGGAGGCCACGGCTCGTTTGAATCGAACGCACGTCCGGGCCCTCCACCCTTAGGGTGTGTAGTGGACTTTTCGCTCAGCTTGATATATATTTTCCATTTCTCCCGATGTAGGATACTGCGGCTGTAGGTTCCGGAGAGTGGCGCTGCTTCGTCTGTACTCTAAATTTACATGTGTCGCTTGGACGGTCCTCTTGATTGTCATCACAGCTTCATACATTGTAATTTTAATTAGTCTTATTATACTAAAAAAAAAAATATAATTTTAGCATATAATTTTTTTATTAGTATTTCAAGAAAATTATAAAGATAACATAATATCTATACATAATATAATAATACTAAGTAAAAATTCCACTGTCATGTGGCCGAAACTTTTTTAAAACATTCAGAGACATACTGATTTTGGTGAAATTTCATAAAACTATAACTCGGGACTTAGGCTCTGATTTCTTTTATGTCAAAATTTATACCATAGTTCCACTAGGACAATTCAATTTGGATTACTTTAGAATAGGTACTAATTATGGTATTTGGCTAGAACTCTGACAGATAAACAAAAGCATATGATTTCATTTGTACTGAAGTAAAGAAAAAAGTGATTAGTAGATAAATCATGCTAAGTATATCAAATAAAACGACATTTATGGAGTCATCTTCACAACTTCACTTGCGGAAGCTTATAGGTGGAATTGGTTCGAAGAGTTCCCGAGATATAACACACTCAATATCTTGACTCGAATTCTAAGTATTCATATCAAATTTTATTTAAAAAAATCTAAGTATTAATAAGTTTTATACAGAATCTTTTTAACCCTTATATATGACGAGGTTTCAATATTCTCAACATCATCGTTAGTGGTTACGACTCTTGTGGACGTTATCAGGGCTCAATGCTCGCACAAAATAAAGTATTCAATGGTCAATACAATTTAATGAGGGAAATAACAATGTTATAAACTTGAAACGATAATTCGAATAGTTGAATTGAGAAGCGGGTTCTCGGTACCGATCTGACTTCAACACACAACACTCCAATAATTCACCACGATCAACCAACGTTACCAATCTACATCTCTTCAACGAATGTCATGATGGCGCCTCGACCCCACTCGTAATTTGAATTTAATTTTATGTAACATAACATAGTGACTTTTAACAATAATAAGATTTTACATTCTAGCATAAATATGTAACAAATTAAATTCATTTCTACTACATCCTATTTCTCCTACACGGCTGTTCCTACGTTCACACGCCTTGTAATGTTGTGGAACGGTCATAATCCTTATTTCCTCCGTCATATAATTTCATGATTTTTTTGATATTTTTAATATTAAACTATTGAGATATAAAGCCATAGATGCGCAGTTCCTAACAAATTAATTCATTCTTCAAAAAGTGGTGTCGTAATGTGACCTTTAAGTCAAACCAAAGAATAAAACCCAAAAATGGTAGTTCTGACTGTCTTAAGATATTCGAACTTTAAGAAACCACATAAAGTTATTTATTAAACAAAATAATGTAAACTTCTGAAAAGCAATGGCCTTCGGTAGTGAGCAGAACAAAAGCTACTTGGGGTAGAATAGTTTTAATTTTTATTTCATTTTCTAAGAAAAATTGTAATTGCATAATATTGCTGTAGTAATTCCTAAACTTATTAGAAATGTGAATTAAAACTCACCATTACATAAATATTACAAAATTATATTAATAAAAAAATGAAAATCAATATTACTTCTTCTTCTTCCTTCCATATCTAATATATTTAAACGAGCAATTCTTGCATATATATTTGTATATATGTATATAATCTGAATTTCGGAAACGACTTCCAACGATTTTCATGAAATTTAGTATAGTACAAGGGGTTTCGGGGGCGATAAATCGATCTAGATTAGTTTTATGTCTGGGAAAAGTTTTCATGTGGTTTTGTTTCGCATTATTTCACGCAAAATATGGTCGCTCATTCGCATGCTAGGACGTTAGCATCGTTGTTAAGCGGCCACGGCGCAAGTTTGACAAGGGACAACCACAAGTGTATATAAGAATCCAGGTTCGTATCCCGGTCGGATACAAAGTTTTTACTTTTGTTTTTTTTGTATTTATTCAAACTTTTAGTATGTTTTTTTTTAATCTTTTTTAAGGTTTTTTAATGTTTTTTTGAGAAAATGACCGAACGAATCTCGGTAGCCCAGGTACTAAAATATTAAATAATGCATTATTTAATACTTTCTTAGATTTACGCGAATATTTGACATTTTATGGATGGATGGATGTTTGTTACTCTTTCACTCCAGAGCGACTAAACGGATCTTGATGAAACTACTACTACTTTTTATGCCGAAAAATGGAAAAGCATAACACTGTAACTCCGTTTATACAAGTGGTTGTGGGACTCAGAACCTCCGCCGTTTTAATCCAAGCTTACGTACTCAACCTCGATGCCTAAACGGCAGGTCTGCCGAAGCAGACCACACAACCAAGTGGTTATTCCCACGATTTACTGTGCTGTCAAAGAAGTACTAGGAGCAACCCACAAGGTACACCGCCGGCCAAAGGAACGGTCATGAAAGGGACGTCCCTCGCAAGGCCTATTTAGTTGTCGCAAAAAAGACTTTCATACTATATAAAAAAAACCTCACTGTACATAGATTTTTAAATAGTTAAACCATTGGTACAGACTACAGTAACTGTCAAATATTATTTAAATAATCTAATAAATAAACTTCATAAACAACGAATAAAATACTTTTATTCACGAAATAATTAAACCACGCTTCGCCATTTTCTTTGTTTTGAAAACCAAATGATATTAACGTCAATATTGTTACTGAGTAAATTTTTAAGAATGTAGAAAACAAAAATCTACTATTTGGTTCCTAGTACCGTCCATTTAATTTGTCCCACTCTGAACTTGTCCCTTTCATAGCACTTCCCCCCTACGAGTTTTAGCATTTGTCGAAATTCATCCCAGAAGGGAGTAAAATTGATGATGGAAGTTTGTATGAAACTATATTATTTTATGTGAAATGCACGGAATGTGGTATTTATTTTTAAAATAAAAAATATATATCAGATTTAAAAAATAATACTTTCTTAGATTCACGCGAATATTTGACATTTTAAATAAAACTATCTTTTCGGATTATTTCAACAAAAAATATATTATTCGGTCAATTTTTTTGTAAAATAGTGGGTAGGCACTGTCTATATCAAATATATGTATGAGACGTCTATAACCTTAGTCTGTCCCGTAACAGTGTCGGCAATCGGGGGATTGCCTTAGCTGTGGCCTCATCCGAAATTGCTACTACACTTATAGAAGATGTAAAATGGTTTTACACTGCACTTAAACTCCCGCTCAATTTCAGTTGAAATTAAATATATTTTAACAGAGTAACAGCTCAAGTTCTCCGAAAGTGCACACTTAATGTGTGGAATATAATAAAAGAATGGAGATTATTCCAAGTCCAGGGGAAAATTATGTATAATTTCTTGGCTGGCTCCTGATGTTTACAATCTTGTCTAGTCTTGGCTTGGCTTTGTGAACGTGCTACACTGGCCTTTAAAAACAACAGTGCTACTGCTTATAATAACATCCTTCTTAAGTTTTTAAAGAGTCAGAAATAGGGTATAGGTTCGTCGATACAGTGATACAAATAGATGAAGTTTACTATCCTGTGAAGTTCCTTAACGCTGTTAACCCATCAGGCCTCTTTTCTCATAAACTCCTCCTGAAGGTTGGCACACCTGATAACCGCAATATAATGAACTGATAACCTCTGACTATGCGTTTGAACTTAATCTTATGTAATTCTTAAAATAAATGAAAGAAGTATTTTTTGATAAATATCTATTTTTATTTAACTTATTTTTTGAAATATTTATATAGTAATAGTTCAAATAATTTTTAATTGACTATTTATTGACTTCCGTAACGTATCGTTTCCGTAACAAAAAATAGTAACGCTAATCCTTTTTTTCGTCTCATGACGCGCCTACAGAAGTTTTACTTCACAAAATAATTAAGAAATTATCATTGGCTATGTTAGACTCTCAATTAAAATTTCTTTCGAGTTGGTTGTGAAAGCTTTCTATTATTTGCATTGTCGGAAAATGAAAAAGAGAGAACAATTAATAGTTTTGAATACGTGCATATATCAATAGGCCTTAATCAAGAGAAACACAACACGTTTTAGAATGAAATGCTATGTTAGCATTTTTGTTGGGGTCAAATCTTGCAACTGAATTTTAAGGCAGTTGTCATCAACCGATTGAGCTGAAATTTTATATAGGTACACATTTAGTTTGGATGACATTGCATAGTTAGCTATGTGACGTCATTCTATGTTCAATACAGCCGGCTCCCAAATATGGCAGACTATGTTTTTATGCACCCCCAT